ATAAAACCTCCAAAGGTCCCAACATGTCAGGTCCAGCTCCTTGCCCCCAAACAGCAAATGTGATAAAGAGCAGAGAAAGGAGATTTATTACATAGCACAGGCACACTGTAGGAAGAGGTCAAGGTCATCTTCAAGGTACAGACATAAACAGACACTCACTTATTTTTGTTTTTTTTCCAGTACTGTGATTTGAACTCAAGGTCTTGAGTTTAATAGGTAAACACAGTACCACTTGAACCACTCTCTCAGTTCTTTCTGCTTTAAGTATTTTTTGGTTGTTTTTGCCTAGAGCTGGCCTCAGATGGCAATTCTCTACCTTCTCTCAAGTAGCTGGGATCTTAGGCTCAAACCACTGCATCCAGCTCATTCTTTCTCTTAGGGTCTCACTAGCTATTTTAGCTCGAGGGTTTAAGCCTGGAACCTTAATCCTCCTATTTCTGCCTCTCAAGTATCTGGGATTTTAGATGTACATCATCATGCCTGGCCTAACTTCAGGCTTAAACAAACTAGGGTGGAGAAAGAGAGGCAGGTGTAAGTAAACAGTTCTCAGCCAATTATGTTTTGGTTCTGCAAAGGGTTCTAGAATTATCATTGTCATTTGAAGGAGCAATCTGGTTCCCATGAGACGATTTGCTCTTGCTACAGGAAACAGCCTCATTATAAAGTAGCTGTCCTCATTTGGGGAGTGGCCTGTCCTGTAAGGATCTGCTATCCTTTTCCTTAGGAGTGGTTTCAGTTCCTTGTTGTAAATATATGTTATTGACCATTCCTGTTTTCCCTGGAACCCAAGGTGATTGGAGTTAAGGCCAGTGTACAATGGAAGCAGAGATGACAAGCTTTTTTTTCTGTTTTCAGTTAACCTGTTGACCCAGGTGGGGAGTCAGTATTTTTTAGTGAAAGCAGTATCCACATACCTGTTACAGAAGGAAGCCTGGGGCCTCTGGAGTGGCACTTAGGCAAGTCACCTGGACTGTCTGGGATGAAGATAGACACAGCTATGTCTATATGTGTGAAAAGACAACAGTGGCTATGAGTGGATATGATTACTGTTCTGGGGAAAACCTGTATACGGACCTACAGGCACTCCTCAAGAAGGACTGTCTGGCATAGGGATAATACAACAATACAACTATTTGATGAAAATGTCTTGTAATGATTTATGTGGTAAGCTAACCAGAAAGTGAATACTATGAAAGAAAAAGCCACATCATTCCTTTTCTAATTGCCTTTGAAATTCAACTTCCTCTTTATGTAGAGATAATCAGGTAATATCTCACCCAATCTTCCTCTGAAAATGTAATTTAGGAAATGGAACGGTTCACCCCAAGCCTTTGGCAGAGAACACAAACTCCTCCATGCCGCCTGGCAAACATGGGATTGGAGCTGCCCAAGAAGGTGTGAAGCCCTGCTGCTCAGCATGGTCCAAGGACCAGTAGCTACACTGAAAAAAACAAATATAAAAAAGAGAGGGAGAGAAAAATAATCCTTATGCACAATTAAGAGAGCCTAAAGAACAATTTAGTTTGTATAACTAAATGTAATTATAAATTTGTTGTGTTGGGGCTGGGAAGGTGGCTCAGTGGTAGAGCGCTTGCCTTGCATGCCTGAGGCCCTGGGTTTGATTCCTCAGCACCATATAAGCAAAAAGAAAAAAGCCGGAGGTGGCGCTGTGGCTCAGGTGGTAGAGCGATAGCCTTGAGCTGAAGAGCTGAGGGACAGCGCCCAG